TAATGCTAACTTTTTGTATAATATGATTAGCTGCGTAAGTCTGTAAGTTATATATAAATATAATCTGGGTATACAAGTGAACACCTTTAAAACCCAGTCATAATTATTGATAATATAATCCAAAGTGTTTCCCAGACTCCCCCATTTCCAGAAGACTTTGTAAGGATAGGTTTTCACTTCTCCTGCTTAACTTTATTATTTTTCATAAGCAATTTAGCATCGAGCACTTAAATGTTCCCAATTTCCCTAACGATTTTCATGTGCGAAAACGGCAAATTATGTGAGGCCTCAAAATGATGATGGATCACCAATCGCACAACGCCATAAAACGGCAACAAGTCAATAAGAACAACAGCCGCAGAGGTTTATCCAACTCTGGCATATGGCAGGCACACAAACACTCACAAGCACAGGCACACACACACACACACGCACACCTCAGAGTCAATAGCGATATTTGTAGCCATTTTTTGCGCTTCCCAGGCCCCAAGAGGAGGATGACACAAAAAAGAACGAAACGTTTTGAGGTATTAACACAAAAGCGGCTTTGGCTTTTAGCTTGACCAGTTTGCCAATGCCTGCATATGCTATGGGCATGGATGAATAAATGTGTGTATGTATATGTATTTTTTATGGCGGATTTGTGTGATCTGCTGCAATATTTTGAGCCGGCCTGTGGCGGCAGCGGCGTCAGTTGCATTGTTTTGCCGGCACAATATATAATAATAAAAATAATAATAATAATATTGCTGGCCAGAAAGCTTGTTGCCGATGTAGTTGCTGCTGCTGCTGCGGGATGCTGCAACATGTTCAGGCCTCATTATTTTTATACGGATTTTTGCGGTCCGTTGAGATTGGTCGGTCGCCTTGGACTTTTGGCTTCGGTTCTCAGGTTGCTGCTGTTGTTGCAGCTTGTAAACTTTTTTGCGCTTCAAAACTCTACACAAAAAACCAACTGCAACAAAGCACAAAAAGTCGCCCAAAGTGCTCAAAAGTTTATTAAAATTCCAAGCGGTAATGGCAGCAGCATTGAAAGTAAAAAAAAACAATACAGAAAGAAATAACCAAAGCCAAAACATGTTTTCACGCCTACCCACAAAAACAACAACAATAAAAAAGAAAACTAAAAAACAGTCAAAAGCTGTCAGAGCAACCGCCTTATATGCAGATTAGCCATATGTGGCTCAGCCATCTGTCTCCCTCGCTCAATCTGAGCCTATCTCCGTCTTTGTGTTAGTTTCTGTCTATCTCTCTCTCTCTCTCTCTCTCTCTCTCTCTGTCTCTTTCATTACATATGCATAAACAACATATTCAAATTCAATTATTGTCAATTTTATTTATTATTAATGCGCATAATTGTCAAATTCGCCAAATTTATGAACGCAGTTAAAGAATCATATATATATGCATACATATTTATTATGTGTATATAAATACACAATCAGACAAATGGACTCTTGACTGGCTATTTCACATGCACCATACATACACACATCGCGAATTTGCGATGCGGTCTCTCCTCCTGGGCGACGCTCACGGAGTTTATGCAAATCCATATACGACGTCTGGACAAGATTTTGTGCGGCTTGCGCTCAATCCGCACGAATTTATGAGAAATGTTGAAATGCATCTCACCTTGATTATGGGAGCCACCAAAGTGCGGCCTGTGTGCCTTTTAGCCCCTAGCCCGCCGCTGCAGTGCACCCATTGCCTCAGTCACATATGATGATGTGCGTCTCGCAAGTTTGAAGATTAATGGCAATGCGTTTAATTTGTTTTTGGGTGTTCTTTCGGTCTCCTCCACGGGCGACGGTCGACGAGCTCAAGGCTTAAACTAAAACTCAAACTGAAACTGAGACTGAGACCGAGACTGTGACTGTCACGGGCACTCGGGGTGAGTGGAGTGGGTATGCATATTTCTTATGCACATCCAGTCGTGTAGTGTAATTCACTCACATTGACACGATACCTTAGAGGGTGGATGAAAGACGGGAGACAGAAGACGTCTGCCTGTGGCTTACAAATATTGAACAAGGTCCAAGCCGGACGACAAGCTGAGTTCAAAGAGGCAAAATGTCTAGTGTTAAATGTTCAGTTGTGGCTATTTGAATCTTTTTTGTTTAACAAATTGTAACATTTTCTAAATACAGTATAATTTGCTTAGCTGCTTCGAGTACTTTGCACAGACATTAGAGGCAGCTATCCTAAAAAGGCAGTTAACGTAATTTATTTTTTTCCTAAAAGTGAAGCGATTTCATAGTAACCTCTATGTTTTTTAAGTTGCACTGAGTTCTATTTAACAGTACAAAGATTAATAAATTAATTTGATAGTTTTGATTAACTTTATGTATTTAAATTACATTTAATTCAATTTCAATAGTTTATTGTATACATAAGAAAAACAAATCAAAAATTAACACATCTTTTAATATGGCGCAGGTAACTTACATGATATTCATAGAAATTGGCAAAAAATTACTGCCGATAGGAGGCGCTTAAATGCAAAAGGCTGTTAAGTTTGATGCACTTAACGTAATTAATTTCATATAAAATTAGCTCTTATTGCAGCGAAAAGAAAATTTCAGGCAGCTATCTTACCGAAGAAGCTAAGTATTGAGGCAGCTAAGCAAATTATACTATATTTTAATAAAGCAAATAATAGATATCTGGTAGACGATTTCCTAATTATACTGGTATGAAGGCCAATTAAACTGCATATTCACTTCGGGTCTAGGACACGTTTTCCACCCCAAGGTTTGTTATTTTTGGCGATTTTTATAAACTTTTAAATTGTTATATTCAACATGTTAGTAAGCAATTCATAACCGTGTAATTGCGTTTAACACACCAAACATAAAAAATAAATGTATGCCGTTGATTTTTGACATCCAAATTGCAGCAGACAGAAAGCAAGGCGGACCCCACCGAGCAAGCTAGCAGAACAGAGCGGAGCAACAAGACATTGCAACTTATATTTTCTCATTCTTTTCTTATTTTAATACCACACTGAAAATGCTTTTTTAACAGCATGAAACTTATAACGCATCAGTCACGACACGGAGACAACAACGAGGTTTATCGCTGCCGTTGCCCCCACTCTACCATTCCCACTTTCTTGCTCTCTCTCTCTCTCTCTCTACTTGTGAAAATCTTTGAACAAAAAATTGCAAAACATTTCTGCCAAACGTTTTGCTTCTTTTTAGCTCTGCGCTGGGCGGCCATGTTGTGGGGAAGGAAAACTCGGACGGGAAAAACGACTGCAAAAGTTTTATATAACAACAAAATGGTTTATTAAGAAAGGAAATGGGGCGTTTGTCAGAAGGCGAAAAAAAACAACAGCACGAAGACACACAACCAATCCAAACCAAACAAAATAAAAAATAAATCTTTAAAAATATCAGCTTTTCGGCTTTATAATATGCAAATTACAGTTAATAACATGAACCAGCCGCTGCATAAATTACCAGAAAAACAAAATAAAACCTCTATGCAGATAAAAACTGAAAAAAACATATGAGAATATTAGACAAAAATCAATGACCTGCCTGGTTAAAAGACTCGAGCACTCGGCGACTGCTCAGCAACTGTCTAATAATAATGAAATATTTCCGAAAAAGTTGCCCCGAGCTCTCGGCCACAAAGGCTTTGTAAGACATGGTTGTCAATGTGGCGGTTGCTGTTGTTCTTGTCGTTGTTGTTGTTATTTATGTTGCTTGACGCGGCCATACTAATTTCAAATTTAAATCTTTCGCTGTGACCTTTCATGCCTACCATCCATATCGAGATGTATGTAGATGTACATACAAGCATGTGTATATATATTATAGTGTATTTTTCTTAATTTCGAAAGCGTATTAAATTACACACACACTGATACGCAGAGAGAAAGAGAGAGAGACGATGCACGCTTTTCAACGGTTAGCTGCCAACGAGCCCGCCCCCGCCCCTGCCGCAGAGTTGAAACAAGAATTTCAAGTATGTTTAACCCAAAACACAACACAACAAAACTAAGAACCGAATCGAACAGAGTAACCGAAACTCTGTCTTCGGTTCTGTTATTCTCGGTCTCAGTCTCAGTCTCGGGCTCTGTTGGCCCGGTCCCGGTCCCGGTCCCGGTCCCGGTCACAGTCTTGTTCTTGTTCTTGTTGGTCTCCCTGGCATGCCCAGGGCCGGGGCTTAAAGTATTTCACAGGAAATCTTCGGAAACGAAACCCAAGCAACGCAACAATATGTTCTACACATTTCTTATTTCTTTCATTTTTTCGGGCTGCTCGCTCCGTTTGAGCAGCTCCGCTGTGTGAGAAATCGAAATCCCAAAAACTAAATCCCTATAATGCCTTTAAGGGGGGCAGAGACTGGCAGGCAAAGACCCGAACACACACGCACACAGCACTCACTCACGCACGGCTACATTTCGATATGTGCGTGTGTGTGTGTGTATGTGTGTTTCGGTATTTTATTTTATTTTTATTTATATATATTTTTTTGTGTACCCCTCTGTTTCGCGTCCCCCCAGAGTCATAGTCAGAGGAAGAGTCAGAAGGGCCCGAGCGTGCGCATAGTCTATAATAATGATAAGATGGCTCTTAATCAGAAAATGTATATGGCCCCAGCATTTAGTTGTTGTTGCAGCCTTTGGTCTCTGGCTGCTGCTGCTGCTGTTGCTGATGCTGATGATGGGTTATGCCCGTTTATAATTATGGGTCCTGTCAAAGGCTAAATGAAGGGCGCATCAAAAGGCAGCCAGCAAGTCGCAAGCCATACAATTTTCAGTTTAGAGAGCGTTACGCTATGTTGCAGATTTTTGCTGTTCTTTTTTTTGTTCGTGTTGTTTTTTGATGTTTGTTGGCGGTCGGTGATCGCACTCTTGGCCATTTTGCAGCATTTCCAGCTGGGCGTGAGTCTGGACAGGGCCTTCTCATTGGTGGATGCTTGCCGTCGTATGTGGCACATAAGTAGTTACATATTTTATATAAAAATGTTTTAAAGAGAAAGCTTACCGCTTGCACTCGTTCCGAAATTGTCTGCAAAGAAAACAAGAGATAAAAGGAGAAAGGTTAGTCAAGAATTCATATATATAAATATATGTATACATATTTTATTAACTACACACAGGGATCTTAACGCCTACCTTTCACTCTAATTTAATTAACGCCACCAGCAACAAACTAATACAAACTTGGCCATAGCCCGGTCTCGACAAACACAGATGAGTTATCTTCCTCAACAAGTTCAATTCACTGGCATTCAAAAATTTCTCAGACCTCAAAGCTCGAACCACAATAAATCTTTTCGTATTTTTTGTGACCCAGGCTTGCATCACAGTTCGCTTGCGGGCTAACCAACAAAAATAAAACTAAAAAATCAAATGTTTTAAATTTTCGTGCAGACTTTGACCGCAGAATGTTTTTTGTGTTGCTGCTATAAAAATATGATATATATTCACACACTCTCGCACGCATTGTGCAGCGGAGCGGAGGGACCCTGGCAATCAATCAAAAAACTATGGAACCTCCGGTATCAGCCCGAAGTGTGAACCAAAAATATTTGAAGCAAATCAAATGCAGCAAATTGGAATACAGAAAAAACAACGAAAATAAAAATAAAACAAAGCTTGCCCCTTTAAGCTGCATTCATATGTAAACAAAATTTAATTTAATTTTCTGTTGTATTTTTTTTTATTTTATTTTTATTATTTAATACTTGATATTTGCAGCATTTTCACACGCAAATCAAAAGATGGTTTTTATAGTTTTGCTCTGCTTTTTCGCAAAGTTTATAATCATTTTAAGCCCAGGGCATTATGCAAATTTGATGCGATGTTACCTAAATCCGGAGTCAATCTTGTATCTCATCTGCCATTCTGTTACTTTTTTCTTCATTTTGCTTCGAGTTAAGCTCGCATAAAATATTCGTGTAGCTTTAGAATTAACCTTAACGAGACCATTGGCCATTTGCCATTCCTTGTATTCTTTATGTCCCAGAGGCCAAGGGCAGCCACCTAGGCACAGAGTCCAGGGGCTCCGAGCATGTGCACGGAAATGCCAAAAACAGACGTAAGATGCAACACACATGTATCTATGTATATAATAGCAAGATATGCGTGATATCCATCTAGGCAGCTGATTGAGTTCGAGAGCTCATTCTGGGCCAGGCTCTTTCTTCAGCTGGGGCTCAAACTCGTGGCCTTCATACTTTAGCAGTCATTTAGCCACTTTGTAATAACATGGCTAAGAGTATTTTGTGAACCGAAGGCTGGACTTTTGTTACAGCTCCGTTGCTTTCGCCTGGCATTCGCATCTCCGCATCTCTGTATTGCTGAATCTCCTCACATCCTCACACATCGTCGTCGTCTGCGTTCGTTGTCATTTAAGTCATCGAACACGCATTGCTACATTGTACATTGTACACATGTACAATGTTCAATGGTGTCGCGCTGGTGGTGCGGATCGGTGTCGATGTCAGTGTCCTGCAGCGGCCATTGCTGTCGAGCCAACAGTCCATTGCCAGTGTCCAGAGTCGCTGGCCTGGCCGGCAGTTCATAAATAATCGTCTTAAGTTGATGTGGTGCCCGTCGGCGGTCGCTGGGTGGTTCGTGGTTCTCACCAAGGCCTCCAGGCATTGCGACAGATTAAGCCCGACTTGAAATCAGTTCCAGCTCGCGGCTCACTCACACATTGCACTTTTTTGAGTCGGGGCAGCAAAAAAGTATCTTTCGGATTGTCGATGTTGCTGTTGTTGTTGTTGTTGCAGTCGCAGCCAAACGCATTAAAGAAAGCAACAGCAACGCAGAGCTCTCCGAAGCCGCTCAAATATTCCAAAAACGTTTCAATGAATGTCGCCGACGCAGTGCCTCAATTTTTGTCACTGTTCCCCACTCTTTCTCTCTCTCATGCTCTCTCTTTCTCACTCTCTCGCTGTACAACAACAAGTCGTGTCTGATCCCATTTTAATATTCTAGATACTTAAATAAAATACGTGTCTGGCTTGGCCAACAAACGTTTATTGTTTGTTAATTGATTTTGCTGGAAGTTGTCGCCGACTGTTAAAATGCAAAGTGCAACTTCGACAAACTTTGCCGAGCGCAAAAAAAAAACAACAGAAAGACAGAAAAACAGCAACAACAACAACAAATAGCATTTGGTATGCAAAATTTGTTTGGCCCGTCGACTTGGACAACTTGTGGGTCTGGGCTTAGGCTGCGGCCTCTTGCTGCCGCTGCTGGCTGCTGTCTGTTGGTTTCTGGTCTTCACTTTTCGTTCTCTGGTCTGGGCGCAATTAATTTGCAGACGGCGAAGCTGAAGCTCAGCCTTGAGGCTGCCAGCAGTTGACAATTGTCAAGGACTGCGTCAACTTGGCGGCGACACACAGTTTGACAGCTCTGGAAACGAGGCGGAGGTGGTGGCGGTTATTAAAGCGGTCGAGGAGGGGGACGGGGAGTAGTAGCGGGCTGGCGACTTGGGTCATTTAACGGTAATTACCAAAGCGCGACAGAAAAGTTTCTGCGAAAAACGTGTGGAGTGGAAAAGCGCTCGGCTCAAGTGCCGACAAAGCGGCCAAGTGAAGCATAAAAATGAAGCACCCAAAAAAAAAAAAACTAAGCAAAACAAAACCCGTAGAAAAACCAACGGACGAGCAGAGACCACACGATTTTCCAATGCCCGCCAAAGAGTAACAGAGTCAAGCGCGACTCCAAGTCTATTTATGTGGCTATTGAAGTGGGCCTCGTCGCTCGGCTCCACTTCAAGCCACACCACACCACAGCACACCACTTCACTCCACTCCACTCCACTCGACTCAAAGTGGTTTGGTTTTGGCGGCTTGGGCTTTGATTTTTGCTTGATTTCTTTCAAAATCAAGCCAACACACACACATGCACAGAGGGCAAGGAGATGGAGAACGAGGCGGAGTTCCAGTCGAAATAGAGATGCAGATGCACAGAACCCAGAACAGAGAAACCCTCCACTGCCTTGGCTGCTGCGGCTGCTGCTGCTGTAGCTGTTGCTCAGTGACTGTGACGCCATTTTCAGGTAACGGAGCGTATGCAAAAGAGCCAGAAACACAGCCAAAAACGTAGACAGGGCCCAGGCCAAGAACATGTCCAAAGGCGAACCGCCAAAAGGATAATCAGCAACAATTTAGTATTATTACACCACGTTCGAAGCCATCGAAGTCTAAGCCCAGCAAAGCTGCAGCGCACACAAAGTTGTCTGTCAGTTTTTTAAAGCTACAGCCACAGCTACAGCCATAGCCATAGCCATAGCCACGGGGCCAAAGTCGAGGCTGGGGCTGAGGCGCAGCTCAAGTATGCATTTCAAAGAAAATCATTATTATCGATGCGGCAATGGAGGCAGCGCGACGCGGACGTGGATGTGGATGTGGAGCTGAAGCTAAACCTGAAGAGACGACAGACTGAAGAAGACTAGAGACTGGAGACGACGGACAACTCGGCGGACGGCAGGTTTAGCCGCAAGTTCATTCCTTTTGGGTATTTTCACGTGGACGTAGATTGAGTTTCAATGGAAAAATGATTTGCAAATTGACTTTAACGAATTGCTCGAGTGAGCAACCTGCTGGCACTTGGAATTTTGATTACAGCATAGACAAAGAGACAGAGGGAAATACTGCGAATCGGGAAGGGGAGAAAGGAGCAGTGGATGTGTTGTATTAGAAGAAAGCTGCATGTAATTGGCACGCATTGCAGGCATGAGCTCCGCCCCATGGATTACCTCAGAAAGAGCCTGTCCAACTACACTATGCAACAAAATGCCGCACATATTTTAATGATTTATACACGATTACGAACATGATTAATTATAGTATTTCTATATTATTCAAATTCAAAATAAAACATGTTTTTAAATATATCTTCAACTAGACTATGCATTTATGGGATGCTGAGCCGAGACAAACTTTAGTAAATAGTATATATATTAGACTTTGATTTCATGTAGATCATTTAGAGACAGCCTATCATAAACCTCAAGAGCTAGCTAGTTTCTAGTATGCTACAAATAGTATAAGGCCAGTAATTCAGATAATGTGGAAACAAACAATGACAGCCCGTGCCAAAAACAGTTGTTGCATAGTGTAATGCGATGCGTTTAGATCCACGTTGGGCCATTTCGTGGCATTGGCTGATGCGAATGTCTGCTTCTGATCCTGATCCATTGGCTGCACGGCTGCCACATGACTATGAACGCCATTATCAGCTTCATGGCCATAGACGCTGCTGTGGCTGTTGCTGCTGCTGTTGCTGTAGCTGTGGCCATTGCCAGTTGGCCAGTTGGCTAGTTGGCGAGTGGCAGGCGGAGCAGTTGGCCAACTGGCTGAGCCTACTCGACTGCTTTTGTTTGGCATTTTTGTGGCCTGTGGCAAGTTCGTATATCATTATAGAAATTACCTACTGCGCCAGGCCGTGAGGCAGCGGCCATTGTTAGTAGTTTGCCATTAACGTTAACTCTTTGGCACAATCTGGCCAACAGATCTCTCTGGTGCCGGCGATAGCATAACAAAAAACAACAAAACAATCGCAAAAAAAAACCGTAAACAGGAAAAAACAATGCCACACCACTATCATGCGGCAGGTTTCTGTTTAACTACCTACCCAAAAAAAAAAAAAAAAATACAAAACGAGAAAGCAAAAAAAAAGGTGTAATTGATATTGTAAATCAATGAAATCTAATGGAAACATTGACGTCAGTTGGTCGCTGGGTCATAAGACTGATAAAGTGGCCAACAAGGGGTGAGCCGAGTTTGATAAAGAATAAGTGTGCTACTTACCAGGACTACCAAGGAAGACTGAAGAATACAGTCGCCGCGAGGCGTCTGCATTGCGAGCATCGGCAGGTGAGGACCATTCTCTTCGACACCATCGTCCTGAAAGAGTTAGAAAAGCCGCTTATTAGTTTTTCAAATCAAACGATAAAGAAAATTCATATCTGCTTTGAGTAATCATCATATATCATATCTAAAGTTCTTGAGTTCTTAAGCTATGTTGCTGGCCGCTCAAAGCCCCAAACTCAACTTAACCCGACGCGACGAGACTCGATTCGACACGACTGACTGTAGCACGCGATTTGTAACACTTGTCAACTTAAAGATTTGCACAATATTGACAGTATGTTAAATAAGTTAAGCCAGCATACACACACTCGCATGCACTCACACACACACTAATACTTGGCAAGCAGCTTTCGTCAGGCGACATTGACTGACAGTTGCGCCAGCAAGTGAAACGCTCTAAGCTCGCACCCACAACTATCTAAAGCTCACGACTACCAACACCCCTCCCCTAATTCCACCCACTCCAAGCCCCCGCACTCCGGCTTATGGGCACTTTAGGCGCATAAAACTTTAAATGAAATACGCAGTGCCTAAAAAGTGGACAAAAAGAAAATAAGAGGAATGAAAATGGCGCCAATAATAATTTGGTTTATTGGCTCTAAAGCACAATGAAGACACCGGGCCAAGTGGTGGGGCGTTGCCAGCGCAGGGGCTGGCTACCCTCGCCTTCTGGCAGCTGCCAGCGACTTCTATTATTTTTTGTATTTTGTGTTTTTGTTGTTGTTGTTGTATTTTTTCGCTGAACTCAGTGAGGGCGACGCACCTTTATTTAAATTCAAGCTTGGCCAGTGCAACTACAGCAACAAGGCGTCTGCCTCGTTTTCTTAATGGGCAATTTTCTTGGTAGTAATGGGCACGTTTTATGGACGCTTTTGTGGGGTGTTTATCGTGCACACAAGGGGACACCCCACTAGCTCCCTGGCGCTTTTAAAATGCAGTCGAGGGTTGACAATTTGGCTGGGCTTAGTTTAAAAAAATAATAAAAATATTAATGGCATATTAGATGACACAGCTGTCGCACCTGTTTAATCAAAAATGCGCTCAAATAATCAAATGAATAAATGAACAAACAAGAAATAAACACAAAACAAAACAAATTAATTGAGTCGAGCAACAGCAGAGACAAAAGCCCAAATTGTTCGCACATAAATCTTAGCACTAAAAATTTTATTGTCGTTTTTATAGTTAAAAAATAAAATATAAAAAAAAAACAGCGGCAGCAGCAGAAACTACTCAACGGCAGCCCGAGCCAAACAGTCTGCGCTGAAGCGCTCTCAGAGAGCGGCACACACACACAACTCGCAAACAAACACAACGCAGCTACACGCGATTTCCCCGTCGTCGTATCGTAAGCGTATCGTAAGTTGAGCGCACTGGTTGCTTATATCGTAAGAAGGCAGCGCCATTGCTTAGCTGCTGATATTGCAGCTATCGCGCTTGTGCAAGCGAGACGGCACTAGTCAAATACTGACAAGTGTACAGGCATGTGTGCGTGAGCAAAGCGAATTGAAGGCGAATTGAGTTGCGAGACGCAGCGACCAGTCAATATAAAGGTTTCTTTTTTGTTGTTGTTGTTGTTGTTGTAGCTGTTGCTGTTGGCGCTTTGTTTGTAGACGTCAAAGCCAAGTTAATGATTTTGTAGTTGTTGTTGCTGCTGCTGCTCATTATGCAATGTTAAATCAATAAATTGACAAAAAATGTGCGCGCCACAACTTCGACAAGCGCCAAAAAAAGCCCTCTAATTTTACTCCAATAGTTTTATAGTTTTCGTGACTATTGTTGTTGTAGTTGATGTCGTTTTGCTCACTTTGTAGACAAAACGAATTTATGACATTTTAAATAGCCGGCGCGTTATTGTCACAATTTGGGAAAACGAAAAACATTTATTGTTTCGCCTTCGGCAGCCCCATTTTCCGCCGCTATTTATAGTGCAACTATTTTGAGTGTCAACCCCCTCTCCCCCCACCATCTTGGCACTGCGGCACCCGCTCTTAAGTGCTGATAAATGGCGCTAGACTCTTTTGGGCTGCCATTGATTAGAGCCGATGAGAAAATGACAAACACCCAAATGCACTGCGTTCTTATCGCCAGGCACAAAGTTCAAATGCAGCTCAAGCAACAACAGCGAGTGACACACACACACACACACACACATGCTGGCACAACGAATTTTCCATTTGGACATTTAGAAATAGAAGCCACCCCAGGCAACAACAATAACAACAACAATTGAACCCCAAATACCATCGTCAGTTCTGTATCTGTATCTCTGCTGTCTCTCTGTATATATATATATATATATATATATATATGTGTTTGTGTGTTTAGATAAAATTGTGTTTCGAAAGTGACAGTTGAAATGATTTATCACTTGCCAGCGACTACTGCAAGGCGCAAGCGGCTACCTCCCCATCCCAGCCATCAGGCCCGTACCCTCCATCACCCCCTCTCTACACACACCATCCGCCACCCGCCGCACGCTGCTTTTTCTGTCTGTCGTCAAAGTTTTTAGCAGCGTTGCTTCGACACTCGCATTTTTGTGTAGAAAAATTGAAAATTGCTTTTTTTCGTTTGGAACAGAGTGTACCCCTATTGCTGGCCCTGCCCCCGCTCTCGATCGCGCGCCCGGCCACAGCACAGGCCCGACGTGCCACAACGTTGTTGCTATCACAATCAACTTCATCTTTCCAATTTTCTACTATTTGGCTTTGTTTCCCCAACGCCCCCGCACCCAACGACCCAACAAACCCAGACCCCCTTACCCTGCTGTTGCTTCGACTTTTTCATATGAAAATTTAATTCCAGCCCCAACTTGGCCCACCCAGTCGCACCCATTTCCATTTCATTCCTTATATTTCTCTCTCTGTGTGTGCGAGTGTGTCTGTGCTGCGAGCTAATTTAAAAATTTTTGTAATTTTTTCGCCTTGCTCTTTTGGAATTTTTGCAATGCGCGACAAAATGATTTATGTCGCTGCCTGCGCAAAATTAAAAATATTACAAAGCAACAACAACAGCCACCAAATGACAAAAATACAACAATGTTCACATTTAAATAACACACAAAACGAACACAAAAAATATGAAAAGAAAATAACGAAAACAACAAGTAAATTCATACGGATGTATATGTATATGTTTGTGTGTGTGTGTGTGTGTGTCCGCGTGTGTGTGTCTCTTTAAACTTTAAATGAAAATGTTGCACTGAAAATATTTGTTGGCTTTTCCAATTTTATGCCAAACAATTTCCACTGACGGCGGCGCGTTAAAAACAACAACCAAAAATACGAAATGAAAAAATAAAAGAAAACCGCAGCAATTTTTCATCATTTTGCACGTGTAAATTTTCCAATTGGTTGAGCGCGTGAAATGCGAGCAAAGTGGGCAAAGGAGGGCGGATTGAGAGGGTAGCACGGGTGGCTGCCAGTGGGCGTGGCTAGAAAGAATTTACTTTGCAATCGAACGAAGTCTTCTACAGGTGCCCAAATAAAAGATATACTCCAAATGCTAAATGATAATAAAGGCTCATAAAAGGTGATTGGCTAAAGGGGTGAGGGGGTGTAAGGTAGAGGGAATCTCGTAAGGGCACGGAGTCAGTTGCTATCTCTTGGTATCTGCTGCATTTGCCGGCGGCTGGCCGCAAGGGCCTCGGCCTTGCCCAGACAGGGAGCCATTAAATTGGATCTCGACTGCGGGCTGCAGATGTAAAAATGGGCGACGCGAGACAACAAACCCGAAAATCATATATCTTTAAAAAGGCTTTTAGCACGACTCTGGCATACCCTGTTTTCAGTTGCTATCGCTTGAAATCCCAAATAGTTAAAATTATTAATAATTGATAAATTAATAAACATGCCGTCGCATTCAGTAAACTTCTCTGAATATTCGGTGAGGGCAAATATTAAATATAATTCTTTCGATATATCACACAAATCTATTTACTAACTCATTTAATGTGAATGCAATATCTGAATATATTTTATTATATTGCACGTTTATTCTATTTTTTTTAAATATTCCCATGGAGATGTTCTAGAATGATCCCACATAAACTTTTTAAATTGCGCTTAAGTCCGCTAAAGCCCATTTCTCATTCTATCTCTGTTGCAGCTTATTTCTCTCTCTCACACTCCCTCGTTTCCACCCTCCCTCTCTCACTCTCGCTCTCTCACACACACTAGTTCTTCATTTTACTTCTTGTTGTTTACTGCAAAGTTTTGCTGCTTTTTGGGAATTTTTACATCCAGAAACGAATTTTATATGCAACTTTTTGTTGTTTCCAATATTTTAAGCACTAAAATACAAAAGCCAATTTTTTCGGTTGTCTTTTTTATTGTGTATACCCCGTATGTAAAATGCATCAACGGTAATTTTAAAGTTATGAGAGCTAAATAACGTTAAATGTGGATTTTAAAAAAAATCTTAATATATATGTACATTTATATATGTATATATAATCTCTTGCACCCAAAATTTCAAATTGGAAAGGTGTTAACAATCAACACAAAGTTTTTCCAGTATTTATCCTTTTTCTGTATTACAGCTTTGTTGACTAAAATTGGAGAGGTTTTGACAATTCTTCTTTTTCGGCATATTATTTATTTTTTAATCACTCAGAAATGTTCCTTTAATTTTTTGTTTATAGGGTATTTCTTAGCGAACATGCTCCCGTTGTATATTCCACCTATGTTTTCGGTTTGGTCGGAAGGTGGCGCTGCTGCAGCTGCTTTACGACTGTGCAAAAGCAACAACAACAGTTACTGTTGTCTGCGTGGTGCCATTTTGGTGCTGTTGGTGTTGTTGTCGATGTTGATGTTGTTGTTTTTGTTGCTGCTGCTGCCGTTTGGTGGCATTTTCCGTTGCAGTTTTTACAACATTTTCCACGCGACGTACGCTACATTTTTGTTAAATTCAAATGAAAAAAGCTTTTCGCGCATAGTTATCAAAATAATGGCAGACTTAAACGTGCACAGAGTGGGAAAGAGAAAGAGGAAACGAGAGGAAGAGGGAGAGAGAGAGAGAGAGAGAGAACGGGA